CCCTCTCTGTGAGTTGTGTGTGTGTGTGTTTGTGTGTGAGAAAGAAAAAAAAGAGAGAGCAAAGAGCCCCGGGGAGAGATGGCTTACCTCCTACAGACCACCTCCCAGGGTCACAGCAGGAGGGAGATTAAGTTACAGCCAATCTCAGAGGGGAGGGTCACACAAAATGTGTACACACACACACACGCACACACGCACGTACGCACACATGCACGCACGCACGCGCACACACACACACATGCACGCACACACTAACTCTCTGAAACCCTCACAGAAACCAAAATATTACAAAATACCATTTTATACCCTGGAATATAATCATCTTAAACCTCACAGTTTTGATATTCTCTGATGCTTTTTGTTGGCTCTCGTTCCTCCACCATCAGACCAAGCTGACTGAGCTGGAACATGAGCCTCCTCAGTGCAGATTTCCTCAGATCAGACTAAAGATCAGTTGGTTGAAGCATGGTTAAGGGTCAGTGCTGATCCTTGTGAGCCTAGCCTCGGAGCACATAGGTGCTGAAACACTGAAAACACGCCTTCCTTTGACCTCATGCCCCCCTGTGCTATCTCACTCATCGAATAACTCCCACCTCTCCCGCACCCTCCAGCATCTACCCATGATTCACCCTGGAACACATACACACCCATACCTCATCAAAGGGACTTGGAGCGATAATTTAGGACTTAGGTGGGGAAAGGTTATGCAGGGGAATAGGTGACGGGAGATGCTAAAGAGGACACACACACAAACCTCTCTTTCAGGACTCCTCTTCCTCCTCCACTTCCTCCTCACCCTCGTACATCCTCACTGTGGCCCCCTTGGTCATCCCTCCTCTCCGCTCTCTCTCTCTCTCTCTCCCGTTCAGCTGCTGTAGCCTGTGTTTACTCTGCTAGAGAGAGAGAGGAGAGGGCCCAGAGAAGGGACAATGCAGCCTTTCAGAAAGACTGTCGACCCCACGGCTGAGCAAGGAAGTCTGCATGGGGGCCAGCCAACACCCCTTCCCCAAACTTCACAGCCACCCGCCACTGAGCTTTACACACACACACACACTTGCATATCTTGCTGACGTGCACACACACAGACGACACCACGCTTTCTCCATCTCTGTATCACTCTTTCACTCGGTCGCCCTTTCTCTTTGTTCCACATTTCCCACAAACCCCCCCTCTCAGTGGCCGTGGCTGTTTGGAGGATGTAGTCGAGATCACGTAACTCCAGTCCAAGATCCACACACTGTGACTCACTTCCCAGCCAAGTCTCTACTATTTCTGCACTAAGAAATAATCATGAGGGTGGTCTGAGGTGAAATCCAGCAATGGGAACTGATTCACCAGGAGCTGCACTGGGATCACATCGGTCTGGTACAGACTGCGCTGGGTCTGTTGTATTTATTTTATGACCTGCTGATTTTCTCAGAAGTTCAACAGAATTTCAAGTGAATTTTGTTTGTCATGTCTGTTTTCTGTGCAAAAAGTGCACGTCCATCAAAACTAAAGCACACCACTCTTCTCCAGTACTGCTTGGTCTATATTTGACCTTATCACATCAATCCACAAACTGAATTTCCAGTTGTTTGTAAGATTTGTTATTTGGGAACAAATACAATCTGTAGAAGCTACAAGTCCTTATTTAACCATTTTACAGTAAGTGCCTAATTGATAAACTTTGCTATATTAACGGATATGTATTTAGTGATAAACAAAATCTTTTCTTTTAATTCTTAATTCCCTTATATTATTTCTTTGTAAAATGTTATTGGTACAAGTGTTAATATGTTGTAGGGCTGAAACTAATGATTATTTTCTTTATCAATTAATGTGTTTTTTGGCATTTTGTGCTTGATGAGTGGGTTGAATGATTAATTCATTATTAAAATTGGAGATTGATTTTCTGTCAGTTGACTAATGGATTCATCACTAATCCTTCAGATCAGCAGAAAGTGAATGTAACCTTATCAAGGAAAATGGACTAAAATAGAACATTTACACTTTATTTAACTTTATTTACTTGAAATTAAAAGGAAAAAAGATTTAATGCTAAAATAAATGACTTCCTAAGATGGATAGTTTACAGCAGCATGCTGCAAATTTAAAGTAGCTCCAACAAAATGCCACAAGCTGAGTGATTCCTACAATGCTCTTTACTATACAGAGGAAAGGACACATTTTTATGAGACTGGCTGTTGTTTGCATGGGATGGGATAGGTATGGAAGCCTGCATAATAAATTGGAAAGATGAGCTATAGCGTCTATTATGGAGGTATAGTAATGGTTTGCACGTGGAGCAGCCGTCTGAGAAGAGCTTTTGTGTGTGGAGACCCCTGTAGTGTCTCTCTGCCTATCTCACAGTGAGAGATGTAGGATCATATGATCTGAGCTGCCAAACTCATTTATATTCATATGGATCCAGCAGTCCCATATCTGTTTCTCATTGTGTTTTTATAGCATGCTTTATAACACTGATTGGAGGCCAGATTGCTGTTTGTCCCAGCAGTGGATGAGAGTAGGATTTGTAGAAAGGTTAAGCTGATCCCTGGTCTCCTGGTCTGCGTCTCAGGGTAAGGGCTTTTACTCGTTTAAAGTGGATGACAGGCGATTTTCTGCTACTTTAGCCAAACAATAGAGCCAAAACTCTTGGCAGCCTGTGTGGTAGGAGTTACAACAAGTTAGTCATATCCACCCAGTTCAGAGGAGACAGAGAGAGAGAGAGCTGCGGTATTAACCGCAGCTCATTCTAAATGAGGACCATATCCGCTCTGACAGATCTAAACATGTTTATTTTCACAGCTAATGACAGTGTTTGCCCACATAACAAACTCTCTACAGTCAAAATGATCATCAGAGCAACTACCAGCAATACGCCTACGTTATCATTACACACTTGACCTGGGTTTAACTGATAGTTAAATCTCTGTTTAACAGCCTGCGCAGGTGTAGCTGGATACATTTGGCAAAATCTGGGACAATGGGGACTATGACAGTATTAGTCAGTAAAACAATAGACAGATGTAAAATTATTGAAAGGATACATTCACATTTTGTCAAGTCTGTCTTAACTCATGCCCGTCTGTATATTTAAGAATTGTTAAGAGTTGTCTTTAGACGTGACCAAGTGATGTATTTGATTTTGTTACCGATTGAATGCAGCTTGTTGGAAATACCTTAATTCTGTAAACGGCCCTTCTCCTGGCACCTCACATGCCTCTGTGGTGTTTTCCTGCTTGTTGTGCTTTAAATGATCACTGACATTTCAGTGTCACTCTCAAGTTGCCATCATGGGAGACCTGTGGGTCATGTGCTTGTCAGTGATCTGTAATCAGATAAAAACCAAAGGTTATTTGTCCTAAGATGTTTCTCTACACACACACACACACACACACACACGTACATATATATATATATATATATATATATACTGTATGTATATACGTATGCATCAGCACAGCGAGATCTCTTTGATAAAGTCATAATGCTGCTCTGTGTGCATCTTCATACAGTATGTTCCTCTGTTTGTATCAGTACATGTGTTTATCATCATCCTCTTATCTATGCTTAATTGAGTCTGTACACTTCCCCCCTCCCACCCCCCCGGTTGTGTGTATACGAATGTGTGTGTGTGAGCTGGTGGCTGTCCCTCATTGGGCTGGTGAACCTGGTGACCTCTCTGCTCCGTGCCTCCCAGACACAAGGGCTTCTCATGTGGCCCCTGGCCAGTCGCTCTCAAAGCCCACCATTCACTACCAACCGTGGCTTCTATGTGTGTGTGTCGGCATGTATGTGAGGGAGAGGGAGGAAGGGTGAATTTGTTGAAATTACAGTTTGATTCATTACTTGTGTGTGTGTGTGTGTGTGTGTGTGTGTGTGTGTGTGTGTGTGTGTGTGTGTGCGTTTCTGTAAGTATGACTGTGTGTGCATCGGTGTATGGTGTACCCGTTACATGCACACTGGGAGCTGTTCTGCATGAACTCAGAAATATAGGACATACCGCAACTGTGCGTGTCTTTGGATGGAAAACGCTTTGAGGAGATTTGTGTGTGAGCCTGGTGAGAAGGAGCAATGAACCCTATCACATTGTGTTGAATGGAGAGCTTGGCTATAAACTAGCAGCACTGTACTAGCACCACCTGTACATGTGAAGCAGTTAATTTTAGATAAAATAGGCTCAGCATTTATTTACATTTGAGTTGAAAAGATCTGGCTCGTGTGAAAGCTTTTGCCGAATTATGGTTTCTGATATGATTTAAAAATTCCTCTGACCAACATGGTTCATCTAGGTGTGCGGCTGTGTATTTATATGCTAAATTCTTTGCATAGTACAACATGGTGATGTTGGGTCAGTCCGGTGACTGAGGAACTCAAAATGACAGCTAGATGAACCGTCCTGCCCACAACCCTCAGGCTGAGTCCAGAGGTCAGTGTGTTTAGTGAGGGGAGGAGGTGGACAGAGTGGGTGCAGCTGGAGTTGAAGGCCTGGGGGTGTTGCTGGTGGGTCTTAAAGGTCCATGGTGTCTGAAGGTGCACACTGTGGGGGTTGGGGGTGGGCTGGGGTAGCGGGTGATGTGACAGGGTGCAAGGGCCAGCGACTGGCCGAGGGGTAGGGTGAAGCAGGGCTCACTGAGGGTGACCATCTGGATTGGATTGTAGACATTCCTCAGGAAGAGTGTGTGAGTAAAGGTCAGTGTGGAAAAAGAGGAGGGGGTCACCCAGATCTCTACGTGTGTGTGTGTTTATTTTTCTTTGGCTTACTCAGTGTTTCAGTTTACAATTGTGGTCAGTTTACCATTGTGTGAGAGTATTTCTTGCCCAGTGGGGCCGTGGAATGTGAGAAACTTTCAGCAGCATTTCACGTGGGAAATATTGCAGGTGAGGGAATCTGTCTGCTGCAGTTTGCAGAAAGCAGAGTTTTATTGTTTCTGTTTTTATATGAAAAACAAGTTATCCTACATTTGCCCCACTTGATCTTACCTCTGACTCTCTGTTATTGGCTGTTTGTGCAGGTGGGAGGTCGGCGGGTTACGGTCATGCTGTCCCTGGACGAGCCCCTGGACCTTAAGCTCCCTCGGCGAGCCAATGGGCGGGACAGAGGGGCGCGCTCGCCCCCCCTCTCCCCGCTGCACCCCAAGCGAGCTCGCCAGCTCCGCATGGCAGACGATGGCACTGCAGTCATAGAGCCAGCTTCGCCAGCTTCTCCGCACACAGGTAGGTGACCTTGTAATGAAAACAAAAACACAAGTGTGTGCTTGAGAAAAAGGGAAAGAACAAGCGCAGTGCCCTTGTATCAGATCCCCCAGGTGAAAGGTCATCTTACCAGGTGTGTGTGTGTTTTGGGTTATACCAGGTGTGCAGGTGGTCCCACACGATCGAACAGACACCCCCACCCCTCCTGCTGTGGACCTGAGCATGTCTCCCTCCTCGCGCCACACCCCCAGCTCTCCAGAAATGACCAATGGCAACTACGTCCCCTCAGGGGTGAGTATGATGGAGGTCAAACACACATACCTACACACAGGAGTGGACAGTAACAAAGTACATTTACTTGAATACTGTAATTCAGCATATTTTTCGAGTATCTGTACTTTACTCGAGCATTATTTCTTTTTAGAAACGTACGACTTTTACTCCACTACATGCAAAAGATACATTTTGTAGGTGTCGTTGACTCCACTACCTTTATCTGAAGTACTCGTAGCTTTGAAGCAGAGTTTTAGTTAGTGGAATGAATTTTGAATTTTGAAAATGTGTCTGAACACACACTATGTTCCTCACAGGAGAAAAACCAATCACAGCCAACTCCTACACTGTCAGTCATGTTGTGTTTGCTGCATTTCTGAACAGCTCAGTTTGAACTTGGCAGTGTCCTAACGATGGCTACATTACATAAAGATGAGGCAGAAGATTCTTCACCACAGCGCTTTAGGCCTTCGCCCATGTTTGAAGTTTTAGCAATAAAGAAACATTCATTTTGTTTTAAATGTTTGCCATGTTTACCACGACCAAACTTCATCACTGCTGGAAATCTGACAGTGACAATGGCTCCTTTTGAATACTAATGCATTTTAAAAGCAAGTACTCTGGTACTTTAACTCAAGTAAAAATTTGACTGAACAAATTTCACTTGTATTGAAGTAATATTTGACCAGGAGTATCTATACTTTCACTCAAGTAATGAAGTTGTGTACTTTGTCCACCTCTGCCAACACACCAGAACAGGTGTTCCAGCTTAGTGTCTACCAGCTTTTATTTTGCCGCCCAATACCTCTATCATTTCCCGTTTTTTCCTCATACGTTCTCTTCGTTCACCTCCGAGTTGGAGAAAAAATAAACACTGTGTTTCGGTGCAGTACTGAGTGGCCAACACTTTTCTGTCTTCAGCGGAGAGTGACTCAGCCTGGTGGGGTGAACAAATCAAGGACAACATCGGGTTGTGTCATAGTCTCCATCAGGCTGTGCAAGGGGCGGGAGACCTGTGTGTGTGTGTGTGTGTGCGTGAGAGAGAGAGAGAGAGAGGGTGTTAGCTCTTATCAAACACCTCTTGTGTCCCCAACAAGTGCCTCTGTCTGTGCAACTTGCACTCAGTGGCCCCACTGGCATGACGTGTGTGTGCCTGTGTGTATGCATGCGTGTGTGAGTGTGTGTGTGTACATGTATAATCGGATTTAAGACAAGGTACGGCCATGCAGACCTCACGCTGCCTAATTCAATTCCCTCCCAATTGAATTGAGACACATTGGCTGGGACCATTGAGCCCACGTCCTACTGAGTCCTAGATGGCCCCCCGACCCCACCGCTACACACTCCACACTCCACTTTATCCCCCGTGGACACAGATAGGACACTTTCTCTCTCTCATATACACAATTAAGTGCTTCTTATAGAAAAAACAGCTGCACACACTCACACTCACATGTTCTCTCCCCTACAGCATCTCACAAAGCAGCTCACATAGTTCTGCATGCAGAGACAGAGCTCAGTGCAGGGAATTGGCCTAATTTTACGAAATTTGTCACATACACATTTCTGACATAGCTGAAGACGATGAGACAGCCGCAGGATTGTGATCCATTTGCACCCTTTCTCTCTCTCTCTCTCTGCTTCCCTACTCTCACACGACAGCTTGGACTTATGTGTCCCTTATTCTAAATTCTACATTTCATCCAGACACCTCTCTGTTTTCTGCTCAAGCTGGGTTACACTCTGTACGTCGTGCGTACGTCAGTGTGTGTGTGTGTGTGTGTGAGTGTGTGTGAGTGTGTCTGAGCCAGTGCATTAGCTCTTTGAGCCCTAGCTGAGATTCAGCGAATCTTACAGCTCCCATGCTGAGCTCAGGGATGTAGAGAGGTTTTGTAGTACGCAGTGGGTGACTACAAGAGAGAAAGTAGAGTGGATTTTTGAAGGAAAAAATGAAGATCAGCAGTTCTGTACTCCATTGACAAAAAGAGAGGTTTTGTCTTTAAACCAATGAGTATTTTCTCAAGCGACGTCATCAGGACCTACCCTTGTCTTCCTCTCTGCTGCTTTGCTCATCGTGGACTATTCACAATTATGCCACCTGTAAAGGGATTTCACAGCATCAGAGCTCATACTGGCAGCTACAAAGACAGTATTGTCTCGGTTGTGTTGTTTTGATGTTTTTGTTGTCTTTGTGAGGTCTTATAAAGCACCCATACATTTAGTTTTCAGGCGTTTCAGGTACACGTTACAGGGAACGTGATTTAAATCCATCGTTCTCAATGGTGCAGCAGACTGATGAATCCTATTTGCTCCTTTTTCTTTTTTTCTTTTTGTTTATCAGAATTCTCACATCTCACAGGCCTTTCAGTTTTTTGTGCCAATTGGAGCTGGGGCAGGACTTCACCTGCCATCCTCCATGTTCATTGGCCAAACGAGCGACACGAGGGCCTCTCCTGACCTCTCAGCAGATGAACAACTGGCCTGCCGCTGGAGGAAGGTAAGGCCCAGATAGTAAAGGAAAGCTGTTGAAGCCAAACTAGGATTGAATAAAAATAGCTTCATCATCACCATGAACTTGAAATGCTGAATGTCTTCCCTCCTCCAGTGCCATCTGCTCTTTGACTCTCTGCAAGACCTGGTTGACCATGTCAACGACTTCCATGTGAAGCCTGAAAAGGATTCTGGGTACTGCTGCCACTGGGAGGGCTGTGCTCGCAAAGGCAGAGGGTTCAATGCTAGGTAAGAAAATCATACAATTGGGTGATTATATAAAGTGTACAAATGAGGGGAGAATTCTAGAGGAAGATGATATAATGAACTTATTTTTGTGTGGCTGCAGGTACAAGATGCTCATCCACATCCGCACTCACACTAATGAGAAGCCCCACCGCTGTCCCACCTGCAACAAGAGCTTCTCACGTTTGGAGAACCTTAAGATACACAACCGCTCTCACACAGGTCAGTGGCAGCGAGTTACAAAACACAAAAATCTGGAAAGCATGCATTCACTCATTGAGGATCAAGTAAAATATTTCTAATTGTAGTTAAACATGGGTAGCTTTAAAATTAAGGCTCATTTAGAGCTTAAAATCTTTATGGAGTTGGGGGATCAGGGTCCTTGGACATGAGATGAGATGCCTAATTTATTTCCCCCTGCAGGTGAAAAACCCTACATTTGTCCTTATGAGGGTTGCAACAAGCGTTACTCCAACTCCAGCGACCGCTTCAAACATACACGCACACACTATGTGGACAAGCCCTACTACTGCAAGATGGTGGGCTGCCTGAAGCGCTACACAGACCCCAGCTCTCTCCGCAAGCACATCAAAGCCCATGGCCATTTTGTGGCACAGGAGCAGGGATCCCCAGGTGGGGTGGGCTCCCTGCTGAAGGGAAGTCAGAGTGGAGGGCTTGCAAGTGGAGGGGGGAAGGATTCTGAGCTGTCCTATGTGAGCGGAGCTCATATTATCATCCCAGGGGCAGCGGCTGCTCTTCTGGGAGGCCATGCTCTGCAGGGCCTGAGTGGTGCTGTGCCCCTGTCTCCCCTCAGTCCTCGGCCCCTGGACCTCAGCTCACTTGGTTGCCCCAACTCACCTCCAGGCAGCCTGGGAGGCACACCCATCCTGTCCTTCAACGGCTCCCCGCTGGGCCTGGCCAAGTCCCCTCTGCTCTCCCCGGCGTTCTCCTCCTCTGCCCTGGGCCTGCCAATGGTGCCCATGCTGGGGGCTGCGTGTGAGCGCAGAGCCCAGAGCCAACAAGCCAAGAAGGGCCAGGGGGAGGAGGCTGAGAATGAGGTGACTGGGGGGGTCCTGAACCTCTCCACAGGAGGGTCTCATGATCCCCTGTCCTGGGTGGTCATCCCTCCAGGCACCGTGGTGCTCAAGCCAGCTGTGGTCAACTGATACATACACACATACACACACATTCCAGAAGAGCTCAGGGGGTTGGGATGGGAGGGTGAACGCCATAGTGAGGGTACGGGCAGTCAAAGGTGATAGGGATTGACTCGCACAATCAAATCCAGGCAATGCATTTCAGAGAGAGGGTGGAAAAGGACAAAACTATAGAGAAACCTATCAAAATTTCAGTCAAGAAAACAATAGATAACACTACACCTCACAAGATTTAACAATACAACGCAAGCCTCTTTTATTGTTGGGAAACCAAGGGGCCCAAGAACTCTGTTCAGGAACATGTATGGTTTGGCTCCTCGTTGCTTATTTTATACTCTATTCATTCCTGTTTGCTGGTTCTGTGGACAGGGACCATGAACGTGACAGTCTTAGTGCTCTGTGTTCTCACAAAAGTCCTGATTCATTGCTAAGTATTTATATGACTGTACTTCATTGACAGTGTGCCTCCAGCTTAGCAGTGAGATAGATACACCATGAAACTGAATGACGCACTCACAGTTGGGCAAACTTGCACATAATAGGAAGATTCTCCACAGTTGATATTAAAGTGATGACCTATTTTTCACAGGCTGCTGTGATTAATATGATTCAGACAAGCTTGCCGTACCAAAGCAAGTGAACTCAAACTGTCTTGGATTTGTGCAGGAGAAGGCGAAGGCTACTGCTTCAGCTCTGAGACAGTTCAACTAAACACAGCACTTACTAGTGTCAACTGGTTATAGTATTGAAACCTCAAAACTGCTGCTAACTTCTACGCTTCCCCAGTGTAACACAAACTGGGAGGGAGCACTTTTGACAATCTGTCCCCAGTTTGGGGAGGGTGACCAACATGGACCAGCCTAGTCCACCGGAATGTGTGCCAGGCGTGCAGACTAGGAGCTTTTAGGGCACAGAGTGATCTGAGGACTTAACACAGACAAATGGTGTTACATCACCTGGCAATGACCAATTATTACTTCCTCGACTACACAAGTGAAATTCAAGCACTGATGTGTCTGGCTCCCCCCTCTGGTCGGACACGATACACAACATCCTGCTTTCCATTTACAGAACTAGCACTGTTTTGCTCCTGGATTGTCCAGCTGCTTTCCCGTAATTGAATCAACACAGCCAGTTTGTGTATGAAAGGGCCACTGTGGTGATAAACACTAGTGTCTTGTATTTTTTAAAAGTGACCCGACCCAAAACCAGCTGTGAAAAGCAGGTGGTCGTCCAGTCGAGGCCCAACTTAGTCTCGTCGGTTGAAGTTTTGACCCAAGTTCAACATCTCTCACGCTGTGCCAAAAATACCTGGAGAGGTTAAAGTGGGATGTACGTATTGTGCCACAGAGGGGGGTGTGATGCACTCAATGCCACATACAGCTGGACTGACTAGGAAGCCACACTGTTGCAAACTGCCTCATTTTACTCTGTCCAAAGGGGCAAAAAAAGAAAAAAAAAGACTCATTTGACTTCTGGGAAAACTTTTCTCATGGTTCGATTAAGCAGTCAACATGCACTTACCACAAACTATACTCCCTACATGTTTTATGAAATGTTACTGCTAAGTCATGGTTCTTTAAAAAAACTAGTTTGCTCTTATTCCATTTTGCTGTGGGGTCCTTCCAGGCTTGTGTTGCTTAGTGCTAATGCATGTATGATGTTGACTGCTGTCTCTACAGAGGAGAGGTAGGGGCGCAGGAGAGGATCATCACAACACAAGGAACATTCCTTCAAGAGACTGACACACTCAGCCCTCCTCTCCCCATATGCTTATGTTGGCGGTCTTACTTTTCCATCGCCCAGTCTTAGAACATCATTAGACATCAGTTATTGCTGTTTTGTATTTTTGTCATTATTTTTTGCTGTTGTTCAGACGAGACATTTTTTTCTGATGTTGACGTTGCTTCTTGTGTTCTGCGATGGCTGCTCTGCAATCAGCTTTCTGCTGTTGAGGGTGAGTCTTTTTAGGGGATGAAGAGAAGAAGAGAGGGAGAGGTATGGGTGGTCCTCCACAGGGCAGTGGTTACCAACCTGGGGGTCCTAAAATAAATCTGAAGGGTCACAAAATGAGTACATTTTCTGTGCCAAGAAATTTTCTACAGACATTCATGGTGCTCAAAGGATTAATCCTAATCGTACTTTGGTGATCCCTTGATTTTTCAGTCTCACCATGACGTTGGTATTTTTGGTGTTATGTCTCCACAACTATTCCATGAAGTTTTGATGAAATCCAATGCAGTCATTCTTGTCCCCCTCAGGACTAATTGTAATAACTTTACTGAGCCCTCAACTTTTCATCTAGTGCCATCACCAGGTCAAATGTTTAATTTGTCCAATGCTTTCAATTATGACCAAATAACTGCAAAACTAATGACATTCCCGTCAGCTGAGGCTGATGGGAACCTTTAAAATGAAACAATGTGGGAAGGTGAAAGTGTCACCATTTACTTGAACTGCTCACATCATGTATAAACTTAGGCCGTAAACTGTGATTATGGTTCACAAGTTCAGATGATATTGCAACATTTTTAGGGGTCACAGTCCTAAAAGGTTGGAAACCACTGCTCTAGGGAGGAAATACAGTCGACCAAGGGACATCACACTCCTTCAATGACAATCACATTGGTGTATCAAGGATAATTAAGATGGGATATTGGCATAAAATAGTGTCCCAACACCAAATTATCTTGGATTTGCAAACTCTGCTACCCTGGTACCTGACTTTAATTTCCAGTCAGATCAAGGGAAAGCATAGAGAAATAACATCTGACTGTGAAATGGCGGGCAGCACTGGGAGAGCGTGAGAGTGAAGAGAAAGGATTGGCTGAATGAATAAATGAACGGACAGGGGATAAGGAGAGATGAGGGGGAAGGCTGTGTGCCAGCCGAGGAAAAGAGGCAGAGGATAGCTGTGCTGTGCAGCCGCCCTCCATCTGGCCACCTACCCAGCAAACGGCCCTCTCGGCTCTGAAGTCACTGGCTGTGCTGTGCCCAATGTGGCAGCCACTCACAGGCGTACCAGCCTGCAGAAAACTAGGCCACTGAACTCTGTCTGCCCTCTGGGTTTTTTTTTTTTTTTTTTTTTTTACAGATTAAACCCAAAAGGCTCAGCTCCCCCACCTCCTGGTCACAAAGCTTTTTTTTTTTTTTTTTTTAACCAGAGATGGGGGGGAAACAGGCCAACTAACAAGCTGCATTCACAGTAAACAAAAACAAATAAAATCCGCCCTGTCTGAGGATGAGCTCTGTGTTGGGCTGCCCACAGGTCTACGAGTATTCACAGCAGAGATGAACTGCATACCTGTGTTTCTGCCTCAGTAATTCTTAGTCATCATTATCTCAGACACCCACTGCCCCCAACACACACACACACACACACCAGTGGCCTGTCTCTGGGCTGGTTATTGAAGTGAATCTCTCATTGTGAGTGGACAATCCTGGCATGTGATGTCATCAGAAACAGGTGTTAAGTAGGCTAGACATGGTTTCCGTGGCAACAGTGAAACCCACAGATGCGGCAACTCTCCTCCTCCTCCTCCTCCTCGTCTGTCTGTCTCTCCTCTGCTGGTCGAAGCCAGGGACAGAGACTCAGCACAGTGGCAGAAAGCTGAATAATATGACACGGACCCTCCCAGGGTCCACATCTTTTAAATATTAAATAAGCTGTATGATCCATTAACCCTTTGAGCTCAGTCTGTAATAAACTGCACTTTTGTACCCCTCATAGCGTGTGTAGATACGGGGATGCTGCCACATCCTTTCTCACTGCAGAGCGTTATTCATCAGTCGATTTGAGAACCAAGAATAATTGTAAAAATCCTCAGTCACTAAAATGTCTGAATTTAAAGTCTTATCTTTTGTTGACATTATAAAAGCGGTACTTGCTCCTGGAGATTTTAAAGTAACCCTTGTTTAATGCTATGAAAGTGGAACTGAAATCCAGGGCACAAAAATTGTGTTAGCTAGCTAGGTCAGTGTCATTGTAAAGGGGTGCCATTGACTGAAGTGCCACAGTGTTGCACAAAGGGTTAATGATAAGACTAAGGCCATGCAAGGCCTGTTCCAAGTTATGTTTTTTGCACATTTGTGAGATATTATGTCAGTATTTGAATTTTTCCAAGTGCCTTTTTATTATAGGTGAAAATATAGAAGTTATACGCTATATGAAAAAAAAATGATTATATGAAAATATATTTTTCCTGGCATCATGTTCTGTGGTTGAACATGCAGAATTTTAGAGTTGTAAAAGTCTCCAATTGGTACAACATAGCGGTGTTCTCCTGTTTTAGAGGAATTTTATTACGATATTGATAATAATGTCAATGAAAAAAGAAATGTTTAATAAAGTTGCATTTGATACAACTTGTGTTTTCATTTCCATCCCAAACACGCAATTAAAATTATAGAAATGTACACGACAATTAAAGCTTTCAGGAAAATGTGATTCAGCCCCTCTACACCGACATGTGAATACTTGATGCTGGCATCACACTTTATCTGAATAAAAACATCATCATATTACCCTGATTAATAGTCATCAACCTGCAGTTTCAGTAGCTGAAGACTGTGACATAAGTAAAAGCATCTTTTCATTGCAAACCATATATAACATTAGACATATGACCATAAAAAGAAAAAATAAACTCACCTTTTGGTCCTCCCTGTCTTAAAATGACATTCACTGCCCAAAAACTGGCAAACTCAAGACTAGAGAAAAGAAGAAGGCTTTTATTGGGTTATAATTTACAGAGGACAGGGAGAGGAAAGACAGAGTGAGCATCATTTCATACTTCATGTTTCCGTATTCTGCTGTGACTGCGGCTTTTGTTGTTCTGATTGAATACTTAGTTCCTCGTCTAGACGCTCTTTAGCCCGCACCACCTAGACACACAGAGAAAGGGAAGACACTTTTAGAATAACCAAATTACCCTATGCTTCTCTCAGAGCAGGGAGGATTTGGTGGGAGATAAAAAAAATAGTAACAATTTCATTTCAAACACGACTTAGTTCAAAGAGCGGATTTCACCTACACGCTCAGAGTCACATGAGTCATAATTTGATATTTAACGCAGACACAAAGGCAGACACTGGTCACTGTTTGGTTGTTATGAGCAAAACAAATAAACAGAGTGGCTAAGAGCAGTGCTGAGTATCATTGTTCCCAGCTGCACAAGCTCCAATAAATATATAATGTACCTACACTCTATCAATTCTGCTGCCACAAAAACATGAGATTCATTGTGAGGAGAAGGAGTTTTCTCATATGTTTTTATGGTTTCTTGGAATGTGATAATTGCAACTACTGACTTGTTGTAAAAAGCTTTTTGGTCCAGCCCTACACTGCCACTTGAGCTCACTAAAGTTATGTTCTCAAGAAATGCACACAGTAGTTTAATCTTCTTAGCAGACTCAACAGTCTCGGAGTGAGTCAGTCAAATTTAGAAATAGTTTACTAAACTGTCACTGAGAGTGTGCCAGAATTAAACTTCAAATCATGGTTTGGTCACTTGAACCGCAGGCTTAGAAGGAAACTTGTTAGCTTAGGTGGCATGGGCTGCAAGATAACTGAGTAACCAGGATGAAATCTGCCCTATAGTGCTTATACATATGCTTTGATGAACTTAAGACAATTTCCATTATGGTGGTTTATCAAAATCAAATAACTCTGCAACACATTTGAAAATCATAGTGTGAACAATCTAAGTGAAAACAACAAAATAACAACAAAATGAAATGTCTTTAGAGTTTGTCATTAGAGACAGAACACTTACTTTTGATTGTAAGTAAAACGAACCGCCCACTGACTTGTCATTGACTTTAAAAAGGTGCTCGTAGTTCTGGAAGAAAGAAATCCATTAGTGTTAGTGTTAAGATAATATCATTTAATCTTCAATCAAAACACAGCTTCTGTTCCAGCACAACAGCAAAGAAACACCGTGTTACATTTTCTGATTATTGTTACAGCAGAGGATGAAGAAAAATGTTGATAATGTTGATGAATGGTCAAATTAACTAACAAGATGAATGTGAAATTGTCTCTTCCTGATTTTAATTAATAGAGCTGCAAAATCTTGAAGTCTATGGAATTCACAGCTCTGTTAGACAGAGGGAGTGTATTTTAGCCATTACTTTGTAAAGACATGACAAACCTTAACAGTATTTCACAACCACACTGCCTCTTAAGTTCAAAGGATGTCACTGTTTCATCCAGGTTACCAGAAAGACACAGTTGGGACTAATGAGTTACACAGTTTGAGGAGTAAGTAATGACAAAAACCAGTATCCCCCTCTCATGCAGACAGAGAAAACATGTTATAGACATAGCGCATGGATGCATAGGCTACAGGCCACAATGTAAACTCAAGACGATTTTGATGAAGCTAGACAAATCTGGAATGACCCGGCAAACACTACATTATAAAAAGAGTTAAGGCTTCTTTGGTAAGAACAAGAGTGTGACTGCACCTTCTGAATCTCCTCCGGGGTGAGTGTGGAGATATTGAGGATTTGCTGCGCCTCTTGCAGGGTCATTCCGGTGATGCTGGAGGCTGCAGCTGACTGCTGACCTGTGGTGCTCCTTGCCCGCGCCGCTGCTTGGCTGGCTGTGAGGGAAAACACAACAACCACACACAAATGTTCTCAGGAATCCTGAATCAGGGCAGAGGAAAAAACTATTTTACAGCTAGGGCTAGGCCATACTATCACTTATCGAATTTCAGCAAAATCATACCTGATCTTATCACATTATTTCTACAAATTTCTGTTGTCCACATGAATAATTTTGAGCAGGATGTATTATTATTTTGAGTATATTAACAGTTTACTCTGATGCCATTGGAACACAGTTCATTACTTTGGTAATTAGTAACTGCTATTATTAAAAAAAACAAATTGCAGTTTAGAAACTGAAAACTGCAAATATTTACCATTTCTGCTTGAAAATTACCTCACCGATTGCACACGTAGCAAAGTTATAGTGATATTGATATGTTTCAGCACAAACTAGTTGTAGTGTTAAGATCATGATCATACCTGCATATTCTTGTTGTAAAGCACGAGCAAATGCTCGTCCCACCACCTGTGCTCCCATTACAATGATCTGTGCAAGATATTTCGCCTGCAGGAAATAATAAGAAACACACCATCAAGAACACCATCCATCAGACACTGATAATACACTGACCGCCATGGACACCAAAACAGTGCAGTACAGCGGATTTTAGCAAGAGACGTTGCAGAATACGAAAACAGTTAAACCAAAGACAACTGAGCTGAAGTCAGACTGAACCAGTGAAAGCCTCCAACCAGTTAAAATGACATCTTCATTTTGTCAACACTGCTGTCAACACTGCGACAGCGTTATCACTAGCTCCCCCGCCATGTTTGGACATGAATTTACTTACACTTTGGTACATTAGCTTCTGCTTAAATCAAAAGACATGTCTCTGAAAAAAGGACACAGCCACCTCCTTATGCAACAATGATGGAAAAGCAAACTGCGACAGAGACACACAACCGCTCCATAACGTCTCCTGCTAACGCTGCATGACATAACACGTCTCCACTGATTTACTAACGTTAGCTATGACTTTGTAAATATATGTGCGACGACTACTGAATGCGCTCTTACCATTGTATATTATTATACAGCTGCTACAAACGTTGCTCGGCGTCTGTGTGGCACATGTATACCGGTGAAGGTTACTTAAGGGTCAAAGTTCAAGGAAGGATCAATAATATACACAATTCAAGTTGAGTCTTGTGGACGGTGATATTTGTGACAGTGACACCCATCGGCGAGGAGGTGAAACAGCAGTCTCTGCTTAGTGGTGCAGGTATTCAGAGTAAAAGTATGCGAGTATGATCGGGAAAAATACTTAAAGTATCACAAGTAAAAGTACTCAATTCAGTAAAATGTCCTCTTTGACTGTTATACTATCATACATCATTATAATTATTATTATTATTATTATTATTATTACTAATGCATTAATGTCCAAACAGTAGTTACTTTTGTGGTTGGTTGAGGCAGAGAAAAAATTTAACTATTTTGTATAAAGTTAATTTTCCTCCTGGATTAATCTCCTGATTATTTTCTGGATTAACCGATTCATTCTTTGGTTTGACCAAATTCAAAAAATTTCCTTCACAAAGCCCAATGAAAAAAACCTCACAAATGATACCCAGTCCACACCTCAAAATGATTGAAAATAAATTAAAATTTTATAAATTATTAGAAGGAAAAGCAGAAAAAAATAGCACTTGAAAAGCTGGAACTGGGAAATGATTAGCATATTTACATGATTTCGCCAATCAGTTTTCCAATTAATCAAGTAATGGTTTCATCTCCTCTTTGTCTTTCCCATTTGTTTACTCACTGTGGCTGTTATGGTGACCTAATCACACAAACACAAGTAGTAATGGGTTCAAAAGGTGTTTATTGCAAGACAATATTGAAAATATCCACAAACCATTACTCAAGTATTACACTCCTGTACTCACTGTATAAAAAGGAAGTTCTTTTTAAACACAATGGAAGGCAAATTAATCCAATCCAAATATTACACAGTATGGCGTTTGAGAATCACAAGCACAAAGTATACAATGCACAAACACTGACGACACCTGCAGTTCATGTGTACAACAACATGATGTGCATGATCATGCATGGCTGAACTGGTTGGTTTATTTCAGTCCATCAGAGGTTGTAAACAAACTCGGTTGGATGAAGCCTGGATTATTCATATTGCTGTAGCCCTGATTAGAAATAACATGATGGCTGTCATGGCTGCATTGTAAGTTATCAATACTGTACTGTTGTTGTCTAGGTAACACCACGATCACTTACTACTAGTTAACATTAGACAAGAAAAGTAGCTCATTTAGTGAGGACTATATCCCCAAACAGTCTGAAAACCAAAGAAGATCATGATTTGATGAAAAGTTCAACTGTCCTGCGAAAAAGGGAAAAAAGCAAAGAAAAATCGAATTAAAGTTAACAAAAGGCTCCTCTAAAAACTCAAAAAAAAGGAGGTGGTTTGGCTTTCAATACAAAACAATATTAATTTTTATTGACCTTTAACTCCAAGACTATTTCTGAATGGCAAAAGAGTTCAATCTAACTGGCACAAATACAATAATACACATTCATGTTGAAATGGCATTTTATTCTAACATTGGCTAAAAAAGAAAAGTGAACTGTGAATGCTTTTGTCATTAGAAATTCCAGTTCATGGCCAAACATGAACACTGGTGACCCTGTTGTATCCTGTGTGGTTTTTGCTGCTGAAGGCTTGAACGTGTTACAGTAATTTTGTGTGTGTGTGTGTGTGTGTGTGTGTGTGTGTGTGTGTGTGTGTGTGTGTGTGTATGTATTACCTGACTAAACAGGAAGACAAGGTTTTTCAGATGCATGATGTTCAATTGTTATTTACTCATTAACATGACTTTTTTTTGTAACATTAAAATTCCTAAAGACACATTGTGACTAGAAAAGCAAGTGAGTGGTCCACTGTGGAGATAAATGTCCACACAGATAACATGATGAGGTATCCTGATATCAAAAAAAATATATATTACAGACTGAGCACAAGAGGAGGCCATTATTTTTTTATATCAGGACAACTCAGAGTATATTATCATGCTTAAACCATGGCCATTTACCACATACATAACCTGAAGTTCAGCTAAAATGCTCTTCCATTATTTTAAAGAAGTTGTTTGTAGTCAGTGTTAATTATGTCTGTTTAAGCCACTGAGTTAACTGGTAATGTAGCATAAAGCAGAAGTATTATTGCTATGATTGCCTGCAGTTTAATTCACCTTGCACTGACTTAGAAACCGTGGTTTACCAGAAATATGTTCGAGCTGTCCTAATATATGATTTTTATGTATTTACTGATCATTGCATATGGTGGGATGTTTTTTTCTAAATATCAACATTAGTGTGACATAATTTTGTAGTCTACATCAACATAAGAAAGCCATTACGAAGTCAAATTTGATCAGAATGATTTTTGAAATATTTAAGAATTCCAGCGGAAAACGATTTTCATATCAAATTTCATGCAGTTTGATATGATGAATATGAACGACACATCATGATATTTGATTTCCCAAACCTAAACAGATATTGTCATAAATACAGTACTAATATTAGAAGGTCCTTTAGATTGTGATTATTAGATAGTGATTTTTTTCCCACATTAGGCAGCTGGGGTATTTGTTGACTGTGTTGAAGATTTGTTCACATTGTACAGTATTCTTTGATTGTGCAGTAGGCTGAGACGTTAGCAGATATAGCTCAGGGGACGTCTGGATGGCACTGTAAAGACTGGTCTCTCCTGTCTGTTGTTGGCACCATGATTGAAGCAAAGGCAAAGCAAAGTCCTTTTTAGTCATCCTGAATGACAGAGAAGTCACAGTTAGATGATGAACTCCTATTGATTTTGCATTACCTCAATATCACATTGGTCCCTATATCTAAATATTTTGACACAAACTTTCTCCATAGTACACATGTTGAATTTTTTAAATATACATAAAAATATGCATAATAGTGGAGCACAGTTCTATGTTGCAATATTAATGTTAGCCATACCCCCCTCCCCATTAAAACCTATTCAATAATTTCACACATTTATCAGTCTTTATCAGTCAAAAAGGTTTGTGGACTCATGAATAAAGTCCAACAACACAGAATAAACTCCTTACAGTACAATCCAAACCTAAGCAAAACCAATGCAAACTGCATCCATGATAGATACAAAGAGTTCAAAACTGAAAACTGAATGTTATGATACTCGCAATCGACTGTGCACCACAGGTGTTCATAATGTACTAAACTGATACTGTGGCAGCAGAGTGTGTTTGAGTGTACTGTACTTCAAATCACAAACAGGATGTTTGTCATAATCATCACACTCATTACTTTAACATCAGTAACTGACAAACTGAAAACAGAAATCCGGAAGAACTCATGACTAATTTTCACCATCCTTTCCATCACATTCACTCACCCACTCGTCGTCGTCCACCCCCTCGAAGGACTCCTGTGGCAATGGGTCGTCCATGTTCCCCAACTTGGCCACCATGGCACTCAGCAGCTAAGTGAACACACGCGTGTTCAGTGTTAGAACGTACCAGAAAATCACAACAGCTTTTACTCAGCACCTACTACTGAGTTGGTTAATGTGCAAAACAGATGACTGACATGTTGGATGCAGGACAAACAGCGGAGAGACCTCGCACCAAGTCTAGATGGGATGTACTGGGTAACACAACACATACATTAGAAACACAATCACATTACGCTATTTTAGTTTGTCCTCACCTCCTCTTTCTTCTGTTCATCAGTCTTCTCCTCCAGGTAAACAGACGAGGGCAGGTACTTCCTAACTGGAGCCTCTTTGGGGGCCTCACTCACTGAGAAAAAACGAACACACACACACACACACACACACACACCCCTCATCAGAGGCAGAAACATACCAGGACATATCCAATACTGACAGGTAGACTGTGGAGGACTGACAGCTATGTTAGATAAGCACATATATAGTATGTATACATATTCAGACTCTCTGGTCCGTGTCTGCACCTGGTGTCATGTCTTTGGGCTTCAGGCTGATCTTTTTGTGTTGGCCGTTGATGCCGGACAGCCAGCCGGAGGCAGTCAGGATGGGTTCCCACCACACTGCTGTGTCCGTGTACACGTCGTCCTGGAAAAACTCTTTCTGAAGACCCAAAAGTGGACACACAGAGGAGATGGTTATGGTAAAGAATGAGAGGGGAACTCATTACAACCATTTCTTAGGAATAATGATCAGGAGGGAGGGAATGCAGTATTCCTATAAGTCTTCTGGGTGGTGTAGTTGGCTCACCTTGACCCGTGGCACTCTGAAGGCCACTGGCTCTATGGTTGTCTTGGTGAGCATTAGTCCCACAGCTATCTCCACATCGCGCACATTGCACTCTGTCTTGGGCAGAAAGGCCAAGCCCTGCAGATAAGGAAAGAAACAGTCAGAAAAGTGCTGGAGTTTAGCTAATACGAACAGCATCAGCCTCACAGAGAGACACGATTTGAAGTAGGGTATTGTAACCACTCTAGCACTTTGGCTGTCCATGTATGCAGAGGTATGGTAACTGATTGATGAATTAAAATATCAAAAAATGAATGGAAGTGAGAGGGAGGTCAGCTCAGTACCTTATGTGGCTCAGGAGAGTTAAAACTGCTGCATTCAATAAAGTAGGGCTCTTCAGGGAGGATCTCATAAATGTGAACTCTGGTATCACCCTGGAAAACACAGGTTACAACTAATTCTTATTTCGTTCTCGATTTTGGTTCAAATAAAACTTTAATTTCATTTGCTTACTTTTCCAGTGAGGATGATCACACTGGTGTCAGGGTCATAGAAAGGGATGAGGGTGGAGGGGGACACGTCTACTTGAGCGCTGGCGATGGCTCCAGAGGACAGGGAGTCTGCAGAGTACAGGTAGAGTCCTCTCTCACTGCGACTGCAGGCGAAAGACAGGAAGGGTCAGAGGTCAACCTTCCCGTTTTACTGCCGCTCTATGAAAATATATTTTTCATGCCACTCGAGCAAAAAAATCATATCGTGTTAAGTACCTATCGAATCCCGACACCAACAGGTACTTGCCCTCACACACCCACACTATACGAGCTCCCCTGGGGCCCTCGGGACCGGGGCCCTCCTACAAAAAACAAAAAAACAAAACAGTAATGTGGGAGTGGGAGAGATGAGTTAATGGAAGACAAAGAAGCATTGTAATGCAGTGTTTCGAGATTACTAATGTGGCTATTCTAATAAACTTTACATATGACATATGCGTTTGCTTGCTTTTACTTTTTTGGTTGTTTTTCCACCAATCAACATGGTTCCTAACAGTTGTGAAATGAAATCTTAGCATGTGTATGAGAGGAGCCTGCTGAGTCATTCATCAATATTTAACTGAGTTGAGTTGTAGCATGTGCAGACTGGAGACTGTGGCCTGGAGCTACGCCTGTGTTTCACCATTTTAACAACACACACCAAAAGACAAATCTCATCTATTTTCAAAGCGGTATCCCACCATATTATTCCTGTGTGTGTTGTACATACCTGCACGGGTGTTGTGGACTTGCGAGGATCATAGATTCGAACTTTACCATCTTTGCACACTGTGGCCAGGAGCTTGCCATCCGGGCTCCATGCCATCCCAAACACCTGAGCATGAACCAGAAGAGGGAGCAAGAAAGAAGAAGCAGCTCAGAGACTTGTACCATGAACAGCTGATGTAAAAATTTCAGTATGTTGTAAGCACACATATCCTCATGTCCAAACTGTTGTGCCAAAACAGTCTACACATATCTATGATGCTTCCTTGGCACCCTTTAGCTTCTCATTATGGCTAGACGTTTTTCCTCAGACTTAGCTTTCACTTATCTTTTTCCTGTATTTAGCCTCGTCTTGGTCACCCACCTGGTCCTGGTGTCCAGTGAGGAGTTTGACCTGCTCGCCGCTCTCCAGGTTCCACAGTCTGACTGTGAGATCGTAGGATGAAGACACCAGGAGTCCGCTGGCCAGAGGGTGAAACTTGATTGAGTAAATCTTCTCCGTGTGGCCTATGGGGGGGGGGGGGGGGGGGGGGGTCATATCAGCCGTCAGTCAACTTGACTTTTACTTTGTTGTGACTATCACTACCTTATCTTCCTTCTTATACATGAAATAATCCACATGGATCCACGGTAAACAATGAACTAAATATAGTTTATATAAGATTTTTGCCGCACCAACTGTTATATAACTCACTTAGTAGACAGACAAAACTACATTGAGGTAATTTTGGAAAGTGGGTCCTGTCCTACCTTGCAAGATGAGCTCAGGCTCAGTCAGAGTCTCTTTCAGCCCTCCCTCTGGTACCTGCCACACCCGGATCTTAGCATCATCACCAGCTGTCACAGTCAGACAGGGACACATGCATGTTAAATCACACTCATGCACTTAGCAAGATGGACAGCGAGAAGACAAAGGAGCATATGGCTGCACAGACTGCTTTATATACAGCGTGTGTATTTACTCACCCACAGCAAGCTGGCGTGCGTCAAAGGGGTCCCACGAGAAGTCGACCACATTTACAGAGTTTTGGATGGTGGGCAGGGATGTGTCTGGTAGCCTGCCAGGCTGAGAGCGCTGAGGAGGGGAATAAAATCAGTCACCAACACGCACTCACACAGCACACAGAAGTCTCCTTTTACAAAAACACTGAAGTACAAGGGAATTAAAAGACACTGAAAATGGAGATCAGCCACAGTTTTTCTAAATCAACATCCCATAAATCATTCAATTTCCATCTGCTGCTGTACCTCAAAGATGGCTATCTGCCCCCCAGAGATGGCAAGAGGCACTGCGACACGTTGGCGGTTGACACAGAAGCCGTCACACTCGCCTGGTGTGGTCAGGTTGAGGCCACGCATGTTAGTAATGTGTGTGTCCCGGTGCATCACTGCTCCCTGGATGTGACGGAACTTGGAGGTGGGCCCTGGATGAGAGATCATTTTCCATTAATGGGTTTCTCACTCAAGAAACATGATTATAAAATGACAGACACCATAAAGAAGAAGTGAGTGTGTCCATACCCAGCAGGCTCTGGATGGCCTTGGCGCTCTGGCTGGGGCTGGGGCTGGGGAGGAAGCCTGAGGAGAGGCCGGAGGTGGAGGAGGGAGAGCGGGATGGGACAGCGCTGCTGCTGGGAGTACTCAGAGGACTGCTGGAGGTGGAGCAGCCATGAGCTGGATCCTGTATGTATGTAACAGTATGATGTCAAGTTTTTACTACTGCCACAGCTACCATGATGGTGAAATGCTTCTGGAAAATCTAGCTCTTGACTGGTTTAAAGTTGAGACCATGTACTACAATAACACTTTCTTCAGGTGTTTCTCTCACCTCTTTGCTTCCCCTGCTGGTCACCTCCTTCTTTGCAGGCATCTGTTTTGCTGGCGGAACCTTTAGTTTGGGTCTTTTGTCTGGGTGGAGGCTGACTTTCTGCACCTGAGGACAAACGCAGTTACTCGTTTGAGGCGTCCGCACAGTGTATAGACTGGATAAACTTGTTGTGAGTGGAGAACCATTACCTGCTTGTTCCCTCCCTGCCACCACTCCTCAGCCGAGATGGCTGAAGTCGTGCCCACTGTGTCCGGGTAAAGATCTTCATGAAACTCCTGGCCTGAATGCTGGAGACCAAGACAGAACGTACACACATGCACATTACCTGTTATGAATGTGCGGTTTGAGGCAGTGTCAGCAGAGTGCAGTTACTGTACACACCTTGCGAGGGACTTGATAGCTGATTGGCACAATGCAGCTGTCTGTCAGCTGCAGCACGCGCATCACTTCGCAGGACATCACATCCAACGCCAGCTTGGGAACCATGGCAACCCCACGCGTTGAGATATCCGTAAGACAGTGACTCACTTCCCGGGTGAAATAGAGAGAAGAAAAGAGGAGAGCGAGTGAGGAGCCAGGAGGGAGGCTGTGATAATACGAGCAGACAGATAACAGATGACAAGCTCTTACCTTGAGAGAGGAAAGGCTCAGAGGAAGAGACTTCAAAGCAATCGACCACCTTGTCTCCCTGTGAGGAACAGAGCGTTACTAAATCAGACACTAACAGACAAAGTATGATTCTCTCAGTAATAAATCACAGATCCTTTAAAGTTCTTCTACATCTCAATCCTAGATTTGTGATGCAACTACATGAAACCTTACAGGCATAAATATCTAATCTTTTATGTCTTTGCTCATTTTTACCACCTGAGAGAATTCACAATAGAGGAGCATTAATCTAAATCTCACCATGCCAGCCAGTACGAGGAGACCAGTGTCTTCATCAAACAGAGGGATCACCATCCTGGAGGCAAAGGGACAAGAGAGGGAGATGGAGATTCAAATGATGCTCAGATATATTACATTTATGTAGAATACTTGCTATTACATAATCACTTAAATACATCACAGGCTCTATAGGTTGGAGTTTAGGAAAGACGCCACTAGATGGAGTAGTGCGCTCAGTTTTAGGGTAAAAGTGGTGAACAGAAAGAAATAATCATGACAAAGAAAAACTTCATTCAGCTTGGACATGCTATAGAGTTAGACTCAGTCACAAACACTTTGATTTCATCTCTATCTCCATTAAGACTAACAAGCTCACTATCAAAGTGATAACATTAAACCTACGAGGAATATGTTTCAAAATGGATATGTTGTCAAATGGACTTCAACACAAAAAACCTGACTCAATGTGACTTAGCAACATACTATTATTTTCATCATCTATTACCCTGCTGAAGATTTAAATAGATTCATTTTTTAGTCTATAAAACGTCAGAACATAGTGAAAAATAACGGCTATCATAGTTTCCAAAAGCCCAATGTGATATCTTCTAATGTTTCGTTTTGTCAAACAGTCAAAAACTGAGAAGCTGCAACCAGAGAATTTTAGCTTGATATTTGCTTATTAATTAATTTTGGTCTATTAAATCCATCAATCAACACCTTTGAATAATCCACCCAGGCAAGCCACAGTCACCTGCCTCCTCTCATGATTTGATGTAAGAAGATTGAAGGATGAGGAAACTCAATGAGCTTTAAACTCAATGGGGGAAAGTACAATTCTCTGTAGTAATTAAACCAAGCAGGAAATCATGGCTTAGACAGAGGAACACTTGCACAAACACAGGCAACGCCGGCAAATCTCACTTATTCACTGTTTCATACTCTCCTTTGTATTCCCTCAGTCCCTCCCTTCTTTCCTCTCCTCATCAATAAGAAGTAACAGTCAGCGTGCTGTATTATTTTCCAGGGCCGGGATCGAGGGTGATGGCTGATCTAACCACTTCACATCACAGGCCGGAGATAGGCTGAATGAAGTGGAGAGCCAGTTCCAGTGATTGGCTTATGGTGGTGACCTTGTGTAACGCTACTATTCTAGAGTAATGCCACTCGGCTGCCTGCACATCAACTGGGAATGACAAACCAGTGATGTAATGCACCAAGTATGACAATATAATGAGAGACTTAGATTGGGTATCGGAACCGACAGCGCATGGTGACACGCAAGGGTTTTTCCTGTGTATATGTGAGAGAGTGAGTGCGGCTGTATGTCAGCTGTATATGAATTCAAAGACAAAACTGATTTGACAAACCTACACAAGTTCAGGATCATTCAGTCACAAACAAGTGGCAGCCAGCCACAAGTTTGTGGTTATAATAGCTCACATCCTTTATTCAGCTTACAAATGTTTTCCAAAGATGGAGATCTTTTTTTCATTTAAGTCTTTTGTTACATTTTTGGAAGTAATTTTACTCTTGGCAGTTTTGTAGTAAAAGCAGACAGAGAAACAACTGAATGCTGGTTATGACTGCAAAGGCATAAGATGTTTTGGTAAACTAGCCTGCCAAGTGGAAATGAAATATTGCTTTGTGTATGTGGGTAAAAAGTATTTTTTATTGTACTGTAAAAGTCTTAAGATAAACTTTATTGATCCTACAAAGGCAAACTGAAGAATAAGATGCAACAGAAGCACAGTATAGATAGCCAACTGTAACCCCTTAACAGACACTCCCCGTTTTTATGCACTGGCCCGAAAATAATGTATCCAAAATAAAAAGGTTACTCTTCTTCAACCCTTTCGATTACAGTCTAAACCTGGGCTCATTTGAAAGGTAACTCTTTAAATCTTACAACGAAAAAGTCAGAAGTTACAGAGGCACAACCGTGGAGGAGATGTTAAAACTTAGAAGACATAGAAAAGGTTTTTTTTTGGCTTGTCTATTTTGTTGGCATAGAAAAGTAAGATTAAGTCCAGTACAGACCAAAACCTAAACACCTTAAGTAGTGCTGCCAAGGCCAAAGCGTCCCACTGTCGCCGTTTTTGATTAAATAAGCAGCAGAGACTAAAGTTAATGAAATGATCAAATTATTATGTAATGTGCATAATTTCCTAAAAGACTATTTCGATTTAACGTCTGTCTCCAGAATAATGCGAAGACTAATGTGAATATGAATGTCATGCTTATGTGTGTTTGTCCCATGTAAAGGCTGACTTGAAGTACTTTAAGTCCTTTTTTCCCATGATTCCTCAACTCAACTCTTCCTGTTCATCCTTTTCATTTCACCCTTGATGTATCGAAAAACTGGACCTGCCCCCCGACCTGTGCCCTGCTCTTCTCTCTAACATCTCTCCCTCTGTCCCGGGCCTGTGAGGTCAGAGAGGGGCGGCCACGCTTCGTTAGGGTGGCTGTGTGTTCCCATGTCGGAGTCAGACCACAGGGGAGTCCCTAAACACCTCCATTCCCACACCCCTCTCGCTGCCTGTCTTCCTTTCCCTCTCTCACTCTTTCCTTTCCAATTCAACAACACTTCCACCTTGCATGCTGCGCTCTCTTTGTGCCTCCAGTCCCAATTATTTCTCTGAGGCCTTATCTCTGCTTTTCTCACAGTAAATGTACAACAAGTCAAACAGCCACATAATAGGAGTGGAGCTTTATCACTGATAATGGTCTCTGTTTACTATCGCTTTCATGCTCCACCTCACCACCAGCCCATTTTCCCACACGGGAAAACTTATACGAGCATGCATGCGCATATTTAGGCACATGGATGTACGAGCAAACATACATACATACATGTGCTAATAATACAGCTTAATGATGTATGTGCTCATGCATTAATAATGGCATATAGTTATGCTCACGCAGGATTAAGTGTGGGAGTGAGCTTGTTGTGCAGATCGGGATCACATGGTCTGATTATGAATGAAAAGAAAAACTATTACAGACCTCATTCATGCTCTTAGACGAGAGGCTGTAAATAGAAGTGTGTGTGAGAGTGTGTGTGTGTGTGTGTGTGTGTGTGTGTGCAGTGCCGAATCAAGCCTGACACACTAATCCAGACATAAGCCTTTTAAAAGTTGGGTGTGTGACTAGAATGGGGTTAACCACACACACATGCTAATTAGTCATCAAATACCACAACTTTCTGAGTGATGGAACATGAGAAATAAAAGAGAAAGGTGTGCATGATACCAGCTGAACAGCATGAATTACAGCTAAGAAAACATTTTTGTACAGAATTTACTTCACAAAACAACTGACTAGTTCACCACAGTATCATATTCTCAAGCATATCTGCACCCACCAACGTCTCAACACCTTTCTAACCCTTACAACACTCTGCGATGAGCCGCCTGATGCTGCAAAAATCCCCCTGGCTTCAGTCTGTCACTGGCACTCTGCTCCTATCAGAGTTTACACTAAACAGAAAGTGGGAGAGAGCACGCCTCCTGCCTCGTCTGCCATCACCTCACACCGCTCTCTCACACAGACCAAAACGCACATCATAAAATGACCTTCTGCGCATGACAGCAGCCTTCAGCACCAGCAGATATGACTGGCATATTACTCTAGTGTGCATCTGTGTGTGTGTGTGTGTGTGTGTGTGTGTGTGTGTGTGTGTGTGAGAGAGAGAGAGAGAGAGAGAGAGTCTGAGTCAGTCCAGGAATATTATGATTATGAGAATGTGTTGTCGTTTGATAATGTTGGAGATACTGGAATAACTGACTAATGGAGGGCCAGACAAATGGATATGTGGATGACAGACAAACACAGAAATGCTGTGTGTGTTTGTGTGTGTGTGTGTGTGTGTGTGTGTGTGTATTGTGTGTGGCTGTGTGTTAGCGTTGATAGAGTTCAACTGAGCAAAAATGTCCAGTCATCGGTCAATAACAATGTAATTATGGATACACATATACATATATACACACACACACACACACACACACACACACACACACACACACACACACACAAAATATCCTTTCAATATTCAACACATTTGGGTGCAGAAATAAATACTGCATTATAAGGAACAGTACATGATCATGCATGTGTTTACAAGCGTGACAAAATATGAAAAACGCACACACAGCAACACATTCTGTACGCTTGTGTGAGCACATACAGGCACATCCAGACACAGTGATAACATCGGACACACACAGTAGTGTATCATATATAGTATATAAGTGGAGCTAATGAAAGGAGCCTGCACATGTATACAGTTATGGGTTGAGCTATAGCAGCTATGACCAGATCAGTATCAGTCAAAGAGATCTGCTGTATGAGATCATGGCCTTTAGCCCGGCCAGCCTTACTGTTAAAAACACAGACTGGACAGCACAATAAGCTCCAGTCAACAGGTAAGAGCTGGCCAGAAAGTACAGAAGAAAGAGAGAGGAGACCTTTTGAACATGAAACCAAAACAAAGCATCTGGTTGTTTACATCTCAATTGAGATTGAGATTTTTTTCTTTAGGCTTACACAGATCAGTCTGTCGCTTTTCTGAGGTGGACACAATAAAAAACTTTCAATTCTAACCAGCTATAAAAAACAGCACTGAGCTTTTTTTTCTCCCTGTTAAATTATTTTTTTCTTCATCTTTATAGAGGATGTCGTATGATGTAAGCATTGAGGAGCTCTCAGAGGCAAATTTGTGATTTCAGTCTATATAAATAAAATTGACTTGACCTGACAATCATGGACAAGCACATTACGTCTTGATTTTTTTTTTTCCAATAACTAGCTCAAACTATTGAATCATGTTCAGATTTTACGAGATTCCAATAAAAAAAGATCAAACATTTGCTATAATCACAACCATTCCCATTTGTCTAAACCTCAAAATGAAAGTGAGAGTTTTGAATCATTAACAACAGCACTGGAGACTCTACATACTATTGTGAATCAGTCTTTATTTTTAAATTGGGGTTATCCTCAGGCTTTGGATGATGTAGTGTGACCTCAGCTTTATTAACTTTTCCTTCTATTTTCATTTCATCCTTTTTTCTGCCT